CTTATCTTTGTGGATAATAATGTAGGCCATAATGTCATAACCACTAGATACAATGGGAGACAACAAAAATTAATATACACTCTTAATTAGCTAAATCTTATTTAATTTGCCATACAAACAATCACTTGTTTTACAACTTGTCTTATTGATAATTGTGTGATATGATACTGTGTGATTATATGAAAAAACACTTAACCCTTTCATTTTTGTTTTAAAAGTATTCCCTATTCAATGTTCAATGTTGTTGGTTATCATAACCATATTAATAATAATTTCATGTGATGTGCTAATTAAATTGCACTCAAATTATATTAGGGGTGTGTTTGTTTTTAATTGAATAGAACTGAACCACTTTAATAAAATTGATTCTTAATTCAATTTGTTTGATAAGTTAATAAAATTGATTCTTATTTAAGAGAGAGTCGAGTCTTGTATTATTCAATCAAACGAATTATTAGCTCTTTCATGTTGACTTCAATTAAGATGATTCAATTCAATTTAGTTCAATTAGGTTTGATTTTATTTTTCACACGGTGACAATTTATTTCTTAGAATCTTTATCTTGCCTAGTCCAATCGTTTGGAACTATGTTTTTCTTTGGCTCTTGGCAACTACGTACTCAAGGCATTCATTCTACTTGCACAGTTCACAATGTTTGTTCATGCTAGGCATTAGGCAAGTAAGTGCCAAAGTGCTACATGCTTTTGTATAAGCTTGCATGTCCTTTTGCCCACATCTATTGTCATGCATTTGTTTCACTTTCTTCACTCCTTTCGCCACATATCTCATCAACATTCCTTCATCACTTTTCTCACTACTTATTTCTCCTTCAATGCCCCTTCTCCACTCTTCTATTTTAGTTGCTTGAGATGACTAGTTTCGAATCTACTTTCACAACTATAATATTCGTAAAGATTGTTAATTAGCACAATTAGCTGTGTTTTTTTAATTAAAGAATGAAGGTTGATCTCTACTTTTTTTTTATTATAAACATATCAATGCAGTGTTTTAAAGATGATAATTAAAAAAATTGATCTCTATTTTGAATAAAAGTTATAACTAATGATATTATTTTGTTTCTAAAGAGATCAATAAGGTGAGAAAAAAGTTATACCTTGTTAAATTTTTTTTGGTAAAATAACTAATCTTTTGTATTACTATATATCTTCATTACATGTATGGCTTTCATGCTTTCACTTTTTCTTCGAGCAGTGGAAATTAAACACCATCTTGTGTTCTCTATCAATTAAAAGCTGATATAGTTATATTTTCATTTTTTAGTAAACTAATCTCAATTAAATTAATTTTCACTTATAACTTTTTCTTAACTATTATTCTTTTTATATTTTGTGTTTTGAAGTAAAGTATGTGCACTGAACACTTGTTAATTAGCTATTAATTATTTTCCTTTATAAAAAAAGATATTATGAGTTGAGTTTCAGTGAGACACTGAAGTCAAAATAAACCTCAAGGCTAAAAAAATATATGCTTATACCAAGGAGGTTCTTGCACCGATAGCAAGTACCTAAATTTATGTTTATGTGGAATGAGTTATATCCTTAACAATTAAACCAATTTTTATTGATAATTTCTCATTTATTTATTCACTACTTAAGTACTTATATCCTAATCAAAGTATCTCCCTTAGAATTTAAAATAATCCCATTCTAGTAAAAGAAACAAGGCAGAACAATTGTTGAGGATAGAAAAGTTACAGTAAAAGTCGCGACCTGTCCTAATAATGTTGGACAGATTTATTAGAATTATAAATTAGAGTATATTCTCTAATTAAAAGTGACTTAATCGCTAATCTCTCTTAAAAAAATGACATGCTACTCTTAAATATCTTGTTTAAATTTTAATTCTTTTGAATGAATTATAAGTATTTCGTGATATGACTCCATTAATTCAAATCATGGATAAGGCTAGGTGGGTCACTCGACTATAACTTTGTTCAATAACAAATCAACGAATTTATAAACATTTTGCCAATTAATAACCGAAGCATTAACTTTTTTATGTTTGACTCATTAGCTTTTAAGATAGTTCAATGTACAAATATAATAACATTTTTGAATAATAATAATAATAATAATTTAATATATTTAAATTTTAAGCGATTTAGTTTTACCAAGTTATTTTTAACCTCAAATGCGTTTTTATCCTTAATTAATAACAGTTATGTCATTGTAGTCTCTCAAATATTAATTGAATAATTTTAATTTCTTAAGTATTGTAATTGTGTAATTTTGGTCTATCAATTTTTTATTGAATAATTTTAGTCTCTAAAGTATTATAATTGTATGATTTAATCTCTCATTTATTGCAATTATACAAATTTTTACCTATTTAAGTTAGATATATTAGTAAATTTAGTATTAATAAATATATGTCATTTAATACATGAATGAAATTATAATATATGTAACTTAAATAGGTAAAAAAAAATATATAATTAAAATACTTGAGAGACTAAAATTGTTCCATTAAAATTTTACAGGTCAAAATCACACAATTATAATACTAGAAGGATAAAAAACACAATTAAACCTTATTTTTAACTACATAGAAACACTTATACGAGTGTGTGAGATAAAGATGTCAAAATGAGTTAAATTTAATGGTCGGGGTCGAATCAGGTTAAGAAAAAAATACTGATTTTGGATAATTTTTTATCTAGTTCACTTAACTCATGTGCCAAACAAGTTCGAGTCTAAGTGAGCTGAGTTAACTCGTTTAACCCACTATTAAATATATATATATA